TGATACTCCTGACACACCCCGCCCAACCTTCCCCTGATACTCCCTGACACCCGCCCAACCTTCCCCTAATACTCCTGACACACCCCTCCTCTGACACACCCCCCCCAACCTTCCCCTGATACTCCCTGACACACCCTTCCCCTGACACCCCCAGATGTTGTCAGGCAGGCAGGATCAGGGTCTCTAGCGTCATCAATCTTTTGAAGTATGCATAAGACACCCCACACACAGTCTGAGGTGTGTGTGTGTGTGTGTGTGTGTGTGTGTGTGTGTGTGTGTGTGTGTGTGTGTGTGTGTGTGTGTGTGTGTGTGTGTGTGTGTGTGTGTGTGTTTATTTATGTTTTGTATATGTAAGTGTCTGTGTGTGTAAATACATACATATGTATGTGTGTACTGTAAATGGTAAATATGTACTGTACGTATTCAAATATGTATATGTAAGTAATGTAATAATCTATACACGAGAAGTCAATCTATACACCTGGTGATAGTATTAATACACAGACAAGTACGTACATTACCATAATATACGAGGTTGGTGTATGACTGTGGTACCTTTCATACATGCCTGTTAACAATAGAGGCGGCGTTTGTATGTTTGGTTAGGTTAGGTTTGGTTAGGTTTGGTTTGGTTAGGTTGGGTTAGGTCAGGTTAGGTTGGGTTAGGTCTCGTCACTACCACACCACAACCACTATCTCCAACACCCTCACCACCCCAACTACCAGCACCACCACCATCACCCCACCACCACCACAACTACCAGCACCAACCCTCCCCATCACCCCCCTCCCTCACCCACCCCTTCCTTATAAAGCACATCAAGGTCAGGCACTTCAGGGTCATTCATGCACACAGGTGTTTCCCGGAAGAGCACCCCTCTCCTTTCTCTCCTGGGTGTATGTGTGTTCTCTCTCTCTCTCTCTCTCTCTCTCTCTCTCTCTCTCTCTCTCTCTTCTTTTTTCTCCCTTTCTGTCGACCTTGACTTAATCCTTCCTGGTACTCTCTCCATCCTTTCTTGTTTATCCTTCCTCCTATCCTTCCATCTCCTCCTACAGGTAAATGGCTAATGTCTCAGGTAAATGGCTAATGTCTTTTAACCAGGGTATACTAGGATCACCTGAAAATTAGCCCTCCCTTCAAGTTTAATTCACCTGATGATTAAACACCCCTAACATTACTTGGGGGGGTAGGTTAGGTTAGGTTTGGTTAGGTTAGGTTAGGTTAGGTTTGGGTTAGGTTTGTGTTATATTAGGTTAGGTTACTTTAGGTTGTGTTAAATTAAGTTAGGTTATGTTATGTTAGTTTAGGTTATTTAATCACCGGTGGAAACAAACAAGAACGAGTGGGGTGTAAGGGGGCCTAATCTTCAGGTGACCAGAAACAAGTTCTTCAAGGGCAGAGCAGAGAGGTGGAGGTCCTGGTAGTGGTGGTGGTAGTGGTTGATGGGGATGGTAGTGGTACTGTTGGTGGTACTGGAAATGGTGGTGGTACTAGTGATGGTGGTGATAGTGGTGGTAGTGGTGGTACTGGAAATGGTGGTAAATTGGGTATGAGGTGGTTGGGAAATGGTTGGTAGTAGTGGTGGAGATACTAGTGATAGTCGTGGTAGTGGTGGAGGTGTACAGTAGATGGAGCATGTCACCTTAGGCTCACTGGGTCCATTCCGCATTTTCCCTCCCACAACGCGGTAATAGTTTTGTTATGACCACATCAACCCTAATCATCGTACATCGTCATCCCTAGCACCCTCTAACACACTCCGGCACCCTCTAACACACCCTGGCACTCTCAACACCCTGGCACCCTAACACATCCACACTCTCAAACACATCCTGACACCTCCCTAATACACCCTGGCACTCTCAAACCACCCTGCACCCCAACACATCCTGACACCTCCCTAATACACCTGGCACCCTCTAACACATCCTGACACCTCCCTAATACACCCTGGCACCCTCTAACACCCCTGGCACCCTCTAACACACCCTGGCACCCCCTAATACACCCTGGCACCCCTAATACACCCTGGCACCCCCTAATACACCTGGCACCCTCTAACACACCCTGGCACCCTAATACACCCTGGCACCCCTACACCTGGCACCCTCTAACACACCCTGGCACCCCCTAACACATCCTGACACACTAACTGCGGTTACTAATGTGAAAATTAGACACCCCTGATGATTAGACACCTCAGCTTATTGCACCTGATAATTAGAGATAATTAGACACCCTAGAGGATTTTACCTGATTAAACACCCTAATGCTAATCTAACTTAACCTAACCCCCCACGTGAAGATCAGACACCCTAATTTATTTCACCTAATGATTAGATAGATAGATAGATGGATAGATATATGAATGGATAGATAAATACAGATAGATAGTTAGATAGATGATAGATAGATAGATAGATAGATACAGATATAGACAGACAGAACCAATACCCTCGATGTGTGTGTGTGTGTTCCACTAATACCATCAGCAGCCGGTCAATCAGGTACCCTGTATATAACACCGAGACGGGTTCACCTAACACACCACACACACACACACACATACACACACACACACACACACACACACACACACATACACACACACACACACACACACACACACACAATGAGCTTACACCATCCCGACACGCCCCACACCACCATCATTGTTGACACACACCGCATCCAGCCATACGTGCAGTGGTTGTTTTGTTTGGTTTGTTTGTTTGTTTTTGTTGTTTTTGTTTGTGTGTGTTTTTTTTTTATTATTTACACACACACACACACTGATTTAATGTGCCTCTCTACTACACACTCCGGGTATGTATAGATGTATCGGGGTATGTATACACACTGAGTATGTATAGATAATTCGGGTATGCATAGACGGTCTGAGTATGTATGGATAATGAGTATGCATATAAACGGTAAATATGTATAGTTATGTACTTCCGTTAGCTGAGTCATCCCGTTAGCTGAGTCACCCCCGTTAGCTGACAATTATCCCCGTTAGTTGACAATTACCTCCATTAGCTGAGTCACCTCCGTTAGATGAGTCACCCCCGTTAGCTGACAACTCCCCTCCGTTAACCATTATCCTCCTTAGGCTGACAACTCCTCCGTTAGCTGACAGTCATCCCCCGTTAGCTGACAGTCATCCCCCGTTAGCTGACACTGTGGCTCCTGTCTTAAAAATAGGGAGGACAGGTTTTGTGCTGACTCATCCCTCACAATCTTGTCATCTCCTATTTCGATATTTTGGCGGTGTTGGAGGTGGTGGTGGTGGTGGTGTTGGAGGTGGTGGTGTGGGTGTTGGAGGTGGTGGTGGTGGTGGAAGGTGGTGGTGTTGGAGGTGGTGGTGGTGTTGGAGGTGTGGTGGTAGTAGTGGAGGAGGTGGTGGTGGTGGTGGTGGTAGTGGTGGTGTTGGAGGTGGTGTTGAGTAGTGGAGGTAGTGGAGGTGGTAGTGGTGGTGGGTGGAGAAAGAAGAAGAAAGAGGAGGAGAAGAAACGTAGTAGTAGTAGAAGTAAGAGAAGGAGGAAGAGGAGAAAAAGAAGTAGTAGTAGCAGTAGTAGTAGTTGTAGTAGTAGGAGTAGTAGTAGACACGGCTAGGATAGCTACTTATGTATTAGGATACTTAATATTAAGGTAATAGAATGGTATGAAGGTGTGGCTATTGGGGGAGGCTGGAGGCAACGTAGTAGTAGTAGTACAGGTTAGTTGTTTTATTATTTATTTTATTATATTGCTGTTTATTGAGTTATCTCTAGTTATTATCTGTCTGTCTGTCTGTCTGTCTATTAACATATGTATTTATCTCTAAGTGTCTGTTAATCTGTCTACGCGTGTCTATCCGTCTACTTGCCTTTCCTTCCGTCCCTTTGTTACTTCTACAATAAAATAGTAATAAGCAAATAAATACTAAAACTAAACCAGCAAATAAATAGAAAAATGTAAATAAAATCATAATATATATTTTAAGGCTCTATTCAATAAGTACTCAAGTTCACGTGTTAAGGTGATAAGCTAAAATACTACTACAAATAATTATAGTAGTAATAATAATAATAATCAACGGTATTATATAATTAATCTCAGTTCGTTAATGTTCGGTTATCGTCACGCTATCTATTATAATTAGTGGTTAATGTTCGGCTATCGCAAAATCATCCTGTTAAATGATGTGGTTAATTTTAGGCTATTGTAACGCTATTTTCTGTTATGAAGCGGTTAATACTCGGGTATCGTAAAGTTAGTCTGTTATACTTTGTGGTTAATGTTTGGGTATTGTAAAGTTACCCTCTGTTAATATTACGATATAACAAGACTATGGCGACAAAATTGAAGTTATATTCGTTTTATATATTTTACTTATCACTAATAACACTATCGGTGGTAATAATAATAATAGTAATGATAGTAATTATAGGATTTGTCATAATAATAATAAAAATAAATAATAGCAATAATAATAATAATAATAATAATAGTAATAATAATTATATTTTTAGTTGGCATTACAATGATATGGCATTTGCATTTCACCCTGCAATATCAAAAATTTTACACAAGCTATCAACTAATGTGTATCATAACCTTTTAGTCCAAATAACACAGAAACGGACACTCCACCTCCACCATGATAGATAAATATATATATAAATATAAATTCCGTAAAATCACAATACAGATTTACATTGATTCAGTGTAGGTATACAATGCACTAAGACAGTACAGGTATACAAAGAATACACCGGTAAAAAGATATTGCAGGAATAAAATGAACACAAAATGTATATACCCAGTACAGCATGGATATATAAACAATGTATATAGTTATAGACAGTACCGGTAAATATTAAAGTGATTCGACGAAGGATATTCAAGAAAGACATAAAATGTCTGTCTCGACGGATTATTTAGCCTGAAGGGAGAGCCAGTATATGTAAGAGGAGGGGGACGATGGGTACACGTAAACACTCATCAGCTGACTTAC